TATAGCTATATAAAAGGAAAGCAGCAGCTGCAACTTTGAAAGGAACTGTTGTATACTTACCTTTACATCTGAAGAGAAGTTTGTTACAGGTTTTTTGTAGCCTGCTTTCTTCAGATGAAAGTTCATCCACCTTAATAAAATTTTCTCTGGCGGTAGATTCATTAGTTCTTCCACATCCTACCAAATAGGGAAAACGGATAAAAGTCATTTATGCATAACAATGAACAAATTATGCTAAAAGGAAAATAAAACTTCCCACTGACAAACTTAAATGTTGAGGAGCCAAAAGCAACAAAAAGTTATGCATACCTTACTATCATCAACCAACTCCACAAGCTGAGGTGTTTTTCTCAAGTTGAGGTCTGCCAATAGTTGTATCTAATAGAAACAATCGTGACATGTAATAGTGGTTGTGAGTCTAGGAACTCCATCATTACAAGAAACTATTACAAAGCATGGGTTTTACATACATCACTATGCTGTTTAAAAATATGAAGAAAAATCTTAATAGTTCTCATCTTATTCATGCAACAAAAATGACACCCTTAAACAACGATTAAAAAAAAAATTAAAAAGCCAGAGAATACCTTGATAATTTGAGAGATCAACCCAAGCACAAGATGAGGCTGCAATAAAAAGAGAAAAACAAACAATGGAATTTTCTCTTAGAACTAGATAAACCTTGGAATGAAACCACTGGACGTCTATCACACCTTTATGAAAAATATGATGCTGACATAATATGTTGGATCATCATTATGTTCACAAGTGTTAACATAGCCTTAACCAGCAAAAGAGATATGACAAATGATTGTTTTTTTTCCTTTCCTCATTAAGGGGATGAGTGAAAGTTTAGAATACCACTATCAGGTTGAGTCACAACATCTTCTCAATAAAGAGATAAATGATAAGCAGGATACATTAAATAGTATGAAATAAATGGAGTTGTCGTAGTGCAGGTGTTTCTGCAATTTGTTGACATGAAGAAATATGTAATAACCACACCGTCTATTAATGGGAAGAATCATTAATAGAAAGAAAAAATTATATAATTCTAAGGCCACATCTCTAATGGAAAATTTGCAGCAATTTTCTTTCTGAGGAATGGCTGTCCATCAAACCCTCTACATACCAACCAGAGTTTTCTAGTTTCAGAGTTGGGTCTACCCAGTTAACTGAAGACTTGAACCTACCCTTGACAAGTAAAGTCTATCATATTTTGCATAAAATCCTTCAGTAGAGATAATCAGAAATTTGTGTGTTCTGGATAAGAAACAGCATATTATCTATGTACTGAAAAAGTACCTATTTACAAATGCTATAATAAAATATAGAACAGCGTAATTTCCCCTTCCAATTCTATCTTTATATTCACCTTCTTTATGATTTTCTGTATCCTGACTATATTTTTCAATGAGTCTGCATTGAACACAAATAGATGCATACCTCTGTACTCCCAATGTTAACTATAAAAAAACAATTTGTAGATCTGCAAAACTAAATTTCCAATATGACAGAAAAATTATCAAGCAACTCAAGGATAAACTCTGAAAGAAACTTTTAATTTGAAAAAATAGTTTAGCAACTATGTTCCCCTAGTATGTTAAAACATAGAAAAATACCCAAATTATTTAAAATAGTACTTGTAATTGTAATGTTTAAAAAGAAATTACAGCAATTTGTGACAACAAGGGAGTGGTCTGCAAAAAACTTCACTAGAACCAAGTTTCAAATGGCCATATGCAAAGCATGCTACCCTCCCTTCTATAAATGCTAGAAACAATATTGCAATTTGAAACACCTGAACTCACAAAACAAGAAGCCCACTGTCCACTAGAACACAGTTTTATCTTTCAATATCTTTCAAATACATGGCACGGTTTCAAAATCTTTCAATTTCTAATGGCACATAACATGAACATCGGAACAAGCCAAGAAAGCCTATGCCAGTGCCGTCAACAGCTGGAGGTAGACAGCAGGCAGTTAGGGGTGGGGGGGCCTCGAGGCGTGGCAGTTTCTTAAGCAGAATACTGCCATACCATTTAGAATCCAAGTCACCATATTCATCATATCAATCTGAACATCTCACTCTTCCCTAACCTTCTTTTCATAAATCTACACTTTCCTAGCGACTCGTAATGATGAACTGAACATGTCCCACTAAACACAGTGTGGAAGAAACATATTTAAGGTGCACAACCACATCCAAACATTGTCCAATACCAACAATCTACAACCTATGGTTGTTTCATGGTTAATATAACCATTATTAAACTGAAAGAAAGTAGACAAAAGTATGAGAAAATTGCAGAAGTGACTCTTGCAGTAGCGTAAGACATTAGCCCCTTTCTATTTCTAGACATAATTGAACTTGCCGACTTATTAGCCACTGTATATGCCTCCCTGAACACATTATTAACAGTCATAAAGCGTACATTTATGAAAATGTAAATATTGCATCAATAAAGGGGAAAAGGTTTCACTTTAGTATGCCCCTCTCTCATTGATTAAGTTTGTAGTAGCAATTCAAAGTGCATCTTAATGAGAGAAAAAAAAGTGTAGCCACTGGGGATTCGAAAAAGACAATGAAGCTATAACTTGATTAAATAAATTGGATTGAATCAGGGATGATTTGCAGCCAAATCCACTTACATTTTCCAAAGCATTTCCTACATTATCCTACAGTATCCTAATAATCATTTTCTTCTAAAACAATAAGAAGTGTTTCCATGGATCAGCCAAAGCATTTAAGTGTTCCCTCTTCATTACAACACAAATCTAATAGATAGTTCCTCCACATAGATCAAAAGATTTGATAAACAATGCCTAACTGAAAGTACACTATTACAAAGTTAAATTTTGGAGAAAGATACACAGAAAAGAATGAAACTTACCCTCCCTTCAGCAAGGTCTTGTGTTCCGATATTCACTACTGTGCATCCAATAGCCTTGGCAGAATTGAGGCAAAGCGTATGGTTTTCATTTCTTTCCCATGGATTAAGCATTCTTTTGGTGTTGATTGCACGTTCATCAATTGTCCCAGGAGCAGCCACATTGATTAATTTGCTGCAAAACACACAAAGATCAATCCACTCTGTGGAAGGCTCATGCATGCAGAAGCAAATAACTTGCAAACAAGCAACCAATAGAAATAAAGAAATAAAGGCAATCCCCATGTATATTAGAAATTCAAATTCATAAAAGAGAGAACAAAGAGTCATAGCAAAACCCCATCATTAGCAATTTCAAAAAAGAACAGCACACACAACAAATTAAAAAAATGATATAAAATCCAAAATAGGTGAAAAAAAAAAAAAAACTACCATAGAAGAACCCCATCTTTAGCAATCTCAAAAAGATCATTTGTCGATGGGTCTATTGGAAGGTATTTATTCAGGAAAAGATCTTCTCTGAGGTAGTTGTTGATGTGGGCTACATATGATGCCTTCTCGGATTCACTGATGGTGTGCAGAAGAGTTGTGGTAGCAGCCTTCAGAAATGCAGAGGAATCGGTCGCACCCCCCATCTTGGTGTTCGCATGGGCTTGCAGTTTTAAGTACACCTGTGTTTAACTTCAAACAATAAGCACCCGTAGAACAATCTTATAAACAAAATGCATCCCAATTAATCTATTCCATTTTGCTGAATTCATCCTTTTTCATAAACACATCTAAACTTTACATACTATTGACTTCACCAAACATCAAATGATTCACTGATCAAAATGCAGAATTCAAGTAAATAAATCAATCAGGAACAAAAAAACGATTCATCTCATTCAGATAACCGAGATATCAATATCAAAGTTTTTTGATGGAAAATAAATCAAGACACTAACCCGAAGAAATATTTCAAAATCCACTTCGTCTTCTGCATCAGGATACGACTTAAGCAGAAACTCCAGACTTTCTTCCACATTCAAAGACTCTCCAATCCCTTTCAATTTCGACATTCTCGATGGCAAGTCTGAGATGCTCACCCTTCCGCATTCCCTTCGTATAGAAAGGAACTGTACAGAATCCCCATTTTCAAACTTTCAACAAAAAATAAAGGAAAAGAGAAAATTTCACCAGATCACTCCCTGGAAATCTAAGAAAATGTAACCCAAGTACCAAAACTTACATGGGACTTCAAACTCCGAAGCTCCACTTGGGTGAACTGGTTTTGGAGCCATGGGTCTGAAACAAGAATACCCACATATCCAGACATTCTTGAAAACAGAGTAGCTACCTGTACAGAGAAGGAAATTTAAAAAAGCAATCCTTTATGAAACAGAAATGAAGAGAACCCAACACCCCAAGTAAGAAGGAAATAATGGGAAAATGAAAGACAAAAGGAAGAGAGAGGAAAAAAGGGTATAAATGAGAAGACAAGATCACATGGCAGAAGTGGGAATGCAGACGGATTGTGAATGTAGATTAATAATACCTGTTGAGGGGGTGTAAAGGATGGAAATGAAAAGGTTGAAGGGGGTTTCCTCTTAAAGATGTTTCGCTTTTTCTTCTGCTTTTTTGTGTAGAGTGATATGAGCGTGCAAGGAGATGATCTGGAACCAGGGAGGGCTCCTTTTGCCAAGTAACCTGTCCTCCTTCAAGCTCCTACGCCCGGTAATTCTGTTAAATATTTTCTACAGTAGAGTGAGAGAACAAAATGCATATATAAACAATAAGTAGATAGAGAGAGGACCTCGCAGCCTTTCGAGCTCAACTCGAATGAAGAGAGAGATCTAACAAAAATGCATGTAGCCAGTAGAGAGAGAGAGAGAGCTAAAAAAAAATTGATGTAGCAGTAGATAGAGAGAGAGAGAGAGAGAGAGAGAGCTAATAAAAATGCATGTGGACAGCAGAGAGAGGGGTTCGAGGTGTAATCAAATGCAGAGGGACAGACAGAGAAGGCCCCAATCCTTTAACTCAAACGAAGACCCTTTGATTTCAAAATATGACAGCAGTAGCAGGATAAAGTAGGAGCACTACTTACTCGGGAGGAGTGTAGGAAAATTCGGGCGGTTCAAATCCTATGCGCCCGTTTTGGCCTTAGGTGATTCAGTAAGGTATTTTAAAAAAATATATAAAATAATTATATAAAATTTAAAAAAAATAAGTGATTTTATTTGTAATGTATTTTAAATATCTTTCATTGCAAAGATTAAAAATTATTTTGATGATTAATATTTATTTATATATTTTTTATTTTTAAAAATTTCAAAAATACTTCTGAATAATTAATTTTTAACACCATTTAAATGTGTTTTGTTTAATCCTTATATACTTTTTATATTTATTAGATTTTTTTTATTTTTACACTGTTTTAACTCCTTCGGATTTGCCCCATTAGGCTGGGTTTTTTAATAATTTTTAATTACCGGAGACTTGCCCGATTAAACCGGTTGAACGGGATAGGCTGGTTCAACTACTTTCGACCCATATCTCATTTTTCCTAGACTGCCGAGGAGAGACTCCCCCCTTAGCACACGGCACACGAACGGGAGGAGTTTTTCTTTGGAGCCCATATCCTATGCTCCCTTGGGGACCAGCTATACATTTACTCCCCAAAGCAAAACACTCTTTAATAAGAATTTTTTTTATTTGAAATGTTGGGATCCATATAATTATAACTAAATTATTATTTTCAAAGAAAAAAATTGGATTTTGAGTTTCTTGAATATCTAGATCATTCCTTCTAAAAATTGGATGGTTCCCTATCACCCTTAAGATGCCATTTTTCTTAGGCATATAGAGAGCGACAGGTTTAAAAAAAAAATTTGTTCACGTTGTTCATTGCATCCCCAAGGGATCTAAAAGATGTTCCTAGTTTAAGTTTTGCTCGAGGGAGTAGATGGGTAGTATACTCCTGCAAAAGCAAAAAATCTTTTAGCTTTTCCATTTGGAACAATACTATTTTCTAAAAAAATATTTGCATAGATGAGTTAAAAAATTGAACAATATTTTTTTCCTAATCATACGATGTTAGTTTCCTAGGCTCGTGTTTAAATTTTATTTTTATGTTGGTTACGAGGTCCTAAAAAAATAGGCGTTAAGTAGAGTAAAAAATGCTGCAAGACCGTACAATCTTATGAAAGGTACGGAAGGAATTATCTTTTTTTACAAAAATAAAAAATAAAAATTTATATAAGGACACAATCTTAAAACGTAGAACTACTTATGCACTTTAAAAATCCATCGAAAAAAATAGTTTTAATGTTGAAAACTATTTTGATTGGTCACCTCGACATCGAGATATATGACCATAAAAAATAAAAAGATTTTAAATCTCAAAAATAATGCATTTTACAACATATTATTTATACCGTCCATTTTCAAGATTTTCATATGTTTATATATCTACTTGATTTTAACTATTTTTTAAATTTAAAATTTGATAATTACATAGAAAAATAAATTTTGAGATAATTTTAAAAACATTTTATATCAAAATTATATACTATGATAAAATTTTGAAGTGCACTTTAACCTCTACGGCTACTGATGCATCCGAATGCTAACGGCACCGTTTAAACAAAGCCAACAAAAGTCCCTTTGATTTCAAAATAAGACTGACAATGGCACCCGAGGAGAGAGAAACTTGTGCATTGAAGGATGGCCTTTTCACCTTTAGAGAGAGAGAGAGAAATTTCAAGTTAGAGAGAGAGAGAGAGAGGGGTTGAGTTGATCGGGAGGAATAAGCGGGACTTTGCAGTTTTGAAATTGAAAATGCAAATTTGCATTTTAAAGGAAGTTACAGGCAGGGTCCTGTATCATTAATTAATAAAAAACAGAGGTATTATTCGTTGATGCCTTTTCATCTTTTTGGGTTAAAATGGCCCCAACAATGCCATCATCAGGACGGCACCAAAAGCATGAGAGGAAGGCCCCTACCCTCTCTCTCTATTGAATTAAGGGCCCATCTCTTTTCCTACCTGACGTCTGCCTGCACGTGGGTGGTTGGGTCTATATAACTCATGTCCAAGTCCCCTGGAGTTTGATGGTATAAAATACACAAATAGAAAGGAGCCTATATATTATACTCTCCCGGGAGCTTAGATTATTTCTACTCCTGGTATACTTATTTGGGAAGGTTTTTTTTTTTTTTCAATCTGAAATTTTGGTAACTGTTTAATAATTTGTAGATAATTATTCTAAAAAAAATTGAAACCTGAGTTTTCCACACTTAGATTTCATCATCTAAAATTAGACGTTCAATCTTGGGACGTTATTTTTAAGTGCATAGAGGATACAATTTGGATTCTTTTTTATAGAAGTTAATCTATATGTTGAAGAGGTTTCGTCCCCAATTTAGAATCTTGAAATTGATTCTAGATGGGATTTCAACAGAGGGAGTAAATGGACATTTTACTCCAGCAGGAGTAGAAATATCATTGTACAATGAAAAAGGCATTTAATTGGCGACGATTTGGCTTCATGAAAGGGAGTGGATCCTGCCCTACCATAACGAAGAAAAGATAGGATCGTATGGACGGTGCTGATATCCGCTAACCATGATATAGACATGAAAACATGATATAGAATATGAGAACAAAGCCACTTGTTATACTTAGATTACTTTATACATGTGATTTAAAAATGGGTGGGTCGATGCCCATGATTGCATGATTTCCACTTTTTAGATTGTGAGAATTTACGTTCTAGTCTCGTTTATGTTTCAAAAATAATTTCAATCGTTTTTTATTTCAATTTCAAGGCTCACTTTTTTGGGATCTATTTGTTCTCATTTTAACCCCAGTTCAGATATTTGGGAGCCGTTTGGATACTTGAAAATGTAGTATCTGTGAAATATATTATTGGAGTAATACATTACCTGTAAATAGATTGTTATTGTTTGGGTAGTATTTAGATGCAACCTGGGAAATACATTGTTATTATTTGACTATGTCTGGAAAAAATATAGGAAATGCATTACCAACATTTTACATCACGTGCCTATAAACTATCATTTCTTTCTTTTTTTTCACAAAATTCCACTAAAATGCAGAATTATCATTTCTTTCTTTTTTGTCACAAAATTCCACTAAAATACAGAATTATCATTTCTTTCTTTTTTGTCATAAAATTCCACTAAAATACAGAATTAAAATTTTCATCACACCATTCCAAAAAAAATTCTAATGATAACATCATCGACATTCCAAACATATTTTTTAATAATAACTTGTACCATTTTACAGTCATCATGATACCATTTTTTATTTATTTTACATGTCTTTGGCACTTACATGGAATCACATGTTTTCTAACATGACATTGGTTTCAACATGATAAGTCATTGGAATAATATGATTGGAATAACATGATTTTATTATGATAAGCCTTATTTTTATTTATTTTTTATAGAAGTCTTTCAAATGTCTTTCTATATAATTTCAAATAAACAATAAATTTATGATGCTTCTATGGTACAAGTTAAAAAATGGGAAGAAGTTTGATTAGTAAACTAGAAGGTTTAGAAATTGCAGTATAAAATTTTGAGGTATTGGAGGAGACTAAAGAGGTATGTTATTTCAATTGAAATTTTAGTAATCTCTTGAGGATTATGTTATGTGAAAATTTTTATTATGATTGTGTTGCGTAATTTATCATTGATTACTGATTTTTATTTTTATTATTGTTGTTTTTATATGATGCTTAAGATGAGCTTAAAAAAGGGAGGGATCACCTTATTCTAAGGAAGGGATCACCTTATTATGAGGGAGGGATCACCTATGTTAGTTATTATGAAGAGAGAGGGCTTAGCATAGAAGATTTTTTTAATCAGGGATAGGTAGGCAAAAATGCACGCGAAAGATTTCCCAAAATTACCTCGTCACTCCATAATAGAGTTTTCACCTATCACCCCGTGTAACGGATTTCATCTCTTTCTATTTCCTTACGATTAAGTGTACCCAAGCAGTGGAAATGTCATATTTTCTTGTAATCTATTGTCATGTAATAGATTTTCAGGTACCCAAACGGCCCCTTATGTCTAAACATGAGTCTTTTCTTTTTTGAGTGAAATAGCAGTTAAAACATTATTGATTCTCTAAACCAGCTCTTGACTAAAAGATTAGTTTGCACTTCCAATATCCAAACGACTCTAAACTCAAAAATAAAAGACTCGAACATCTAATGTCCATGCCGAAACCAATCGTCCTTGTATAGCTCAAAAAAGCAGGGATGTCTAAAGGGCTTCCTAGACTTCATAATTTTGATAGAAAGACCAGTTCAGATGATGGATATCCGAAGCACTTCCAGTGTATAGAAACTAATTATTTTCACTTGGACTATAATGTAGACAAAAACAAGTCAATGCACCTTGAAAGTTTTCAATACACTTTGAAATTACAACTTGTAAAAACAAATTACAGCAAGGTCACTGTAACTACAATGAGCTATTGACTTTCAAATACACTCATTTGAGAAGATACAACTCAATTGGGGTTCTTTGCACATGAACAAAACAAGTTATAAAATGATATCATCAAATTACACATGATTAATATGCATTTGAATATTCAACGCCATTCAAACTTGCAGAGAAAAATTATACATCAATGAATTCATAAAATTCATCACAATATGATTTCCATTATATCAACATATATATGCTCATGTGTGCAATGCAACATGACTATGGGAAGCCAATCGGAGCTCTTGGGTGCTCGGTTTATGGCATTGGATCTTAGTTGTATGCCTTTTTTTTTTTTGATAGAGGTGAGTATTCATTAATATAAGGAGATAAACACCAAAATTACAATTACAAAGAAGAAAAATAAGGAATGAACCCTACTTCAAAGAAAGACCAACTAACACTCTCTAAACACTAAAACTCGAAGACCCCTAGTCTATCGAGAAGCTTGGAAATCCCGTTGTCCACTTGAAGCAATAAAGCTTATTCCTTTCTAGTCCCTGAGCCCAAACTTCACTAACTGGAAACCAC